ACACACCTTGACTTGTTAGAAATTTAGTATCATCATAACCACAACTGACATCAATTGGTGTAAATTGTATTGGAAATTTCAATAATAAAGGTACTGAACTACTTTTAATACCTGCACAACATCCATTAGAATCAGATCCTGCAACATAAACTTGAGAATTTCTTGTAATAAATACAGAATGAGTATTGTTAGCTCCTACTTTACAAATAGGTTGACCATCAAAATAATCACTTGGAAGTTTAACTGGTTTCTTTTGAGATTCAGTATCTGAAATTCCCAATTGATTAGCTGAATTAGATCCATTTACAAATACTGAACCATCAATTGAAATGAAAATACTGTGATATCCACCTCCAGCTCCGTCAATTATTTTATATTCATTGATAACACCTATATTGTTGTTGTTGTTGTAATTTGTTAACAAATGAATTTACAATCAAACTTATAATCATTAAAAACAAACCTTCAGCTCTAATGAGACCTCTAATTGGAGAACCACCTAATGCTCCAGATACTCCACAACATAATTCACCATTACCATTTGTTCCAAAACTCAAAATTCTTCCTTCGAATGTGATGAGATGAGTGTGATGACGACCAGAAATTACTAAATATCACAGTGTTAATCGATTGATTTTGTTCAACATCATTTTTACAGATATTATTATTATTATAATACTAAATTTAACAAACGCAAGTAACGCAAATTTCATACCTTTTACAACATTGATATTTGGTAAATGAACCACTTTTTGATAAATAGCATCAGCAATCTTTGTAAGATCGGAATTAGTATCATCAATTTTAAAAGGTTCAAATTCTGAAACTGAAGTGGAAGAAACTTTGAATACGTGCTCTCCTGGAAATACAGCATGTGAAAGTGACATTAATTCACCAACCAGATATAACGTTGAACCTTGTTTGTTATTGTAACTGTTTAGCTTGTTTTCGTACATTTTTTTATTTCAAAATTTGAATCAAAAGGATTCATCTTGGACTTGATGTTTAACTGGTTGCCTTTTTAAATCTCTTGCTTACAGTGTGGACAGGATTGACAATTAACGTGAGCTGACAGAGCACTTGGTTGTTTCAGCAAATCACGAAGCGAAGGGAGTGTTGGATTGATTGGGGAAAGAGTTGGAGAATCAAGAATTGGACTAGTTTTTGGTTCTATAGAATTGGATGAATGTTGTTCAGAACTATTTGTTGAACTAGAGCATTGAGTAACGTTGACTGTTGCTACGGCAGATTTATCACCTTGTGGAATATTTTGAAGAACATTTTTTGCAGCTTGCTCAATTGATAAACCAGTACAAATGAAAGCGTGTATCTTCATGGCAATATTGCAATTAATCTTCTTGTAAAATTCAGGTGCCTCGTTTTCTAAGGTATTTTCAATAAGATCCTTCTTGACATGAGTGCGCAAAAAGAACTTTGGCTCTCTACCATCTCTTATAATAAAGTGGAAGACAAGCAACATAATCCTTTTACAGAAGCTAACAAGAGTCAACTTGTGAGGAAGTCTTTGTCTAAGAATTGAATGTTGTTGATTCTTTTCAATAAAGTTGCTGTGTTCCTTTGATGTCTTCTCGAATAAAGCTCTACGAACATCTCTGTATCTCCATGTTTTACCTTCATCTTTAGAAAGTCCAACAAGATGAGCGAGAGCTCTTATTGGCAACAATTTTTCAGTGGAAGAACCATTAACAAAATCTTCTTCGACAACTTCTTCTTCACATTCCTCCTCTTCATCTTCTTCCTTAACTTGGACAGGTTCCTTTTTTCTCTTCTTGTTTTGTTGTTGATCTGATGAGTCCTTCCGCTTCTTTTTTTCGTCTATCATTCCAATAATTTCATTAAAGGATTGCAAATTATTTGTTGTGGAAGATATCACTTTTTGATCAATAGTGGATTGTTCAGGAGTGCTAACAGTCTTAACGGAGGTAACATTGGTAGTATTGGAGATGACACCAGATTCAACAATATTATTGTGGAAAGTAGTAGTTTGAGTTTTGGAAAGAAGAGGGGATGGAATAGTGTGAGCGCTCACAGGATTAACTGGAGCGTGTGCACTGGTAGTGGTTGGGTAAATTTGATTGAATTGATTGTACATGTTAGTCGTATTATTAACAGGTTGTTGAGTTGTTGTTGAAATATTTTGAACCAAATAATTTGGATAGTATTGTTGTTGACTGAACATGTTTTTCGAGTGATGATTGGAGGAATCATGATAATGTAAGGCAGTACTAACACCGGAAGTAGCATAACACTTCGAATCATAATAAGTTGTAGCTGGTTTTGATGGAGTTCTATTGAAAAGTAATGTTAAAGCTTTCTTATTTAAATCATCATTTTGTTGTTGTTGATAACCATATTGATTGGATTGTGAAGAGGAATTAATCAATCCATTGTTATTACTATTATTCACGTATTGATGATGAAGAATAGTAGAGCCACCATTGGTATTAGTAAAACTTGTTGTTGATGGAATTGAAGGTAAAATTGATGATGATGTTGGTGGAGGGTAGTGTTGATTAATACTTTGTGGTTGTGGGTACATCTTTCGCTTTTTTGTTTGGCTTGATATCCACGAAGAAAGAGAAACGCGGAACGCGAAAAACCAACGAGCTTATTTTTACACTATCATTCGGCTTATGGTTGTTTGAGAATCAAAAAAGCATTGTGCAGACAATTTGCGTCTACAGCGAATTAAGCGCGAAAATGAGAATTTCAAAAGAATTGCGCGACTTTTTTTTCTCTGCTTTCACACAGGCTAGTTGAACATTTAGGTCTTGCTTGGAATTGTCGCCTTTTTGTTCCTGTTTTTGTGGGCACTAGACTTTTAGTATGTACAACAATTGGCAAAGCTTTTTAAGGAATTTATTCAAAATTTGGTATTGTAAAACTGTAAATAAACTGAGCAGAGTGAGGTGATTTAATCCTGATGGTTCACTCACGGTAAATCTAAAATGTCTATTAATCTAATTCATTTGAATACAATTGTTTCATCTGTAATCTTCAAAGATACACCACATGAAAATATATTAAGGCAAATTCTCTAAAGTACTATAATCTTATTGTTTATTCTGTTTCATTTGTTCATATTTAGCATTAACTTCATGAATTTGTTTCAAATCATTATCATCTCTTCTTCCCATAATGTAAAGTAACTCTTCACAGAATATTAAAAATTCAGGTTCAGTTTCCAAAAAGAAATCCAAAACTTGTTCTCTATCATAATTAGCATCAACTTCTAAAAGCATTTTCTGTAATCTTTCATTCTTTAATCTATTTTTTAACATGCTTGATTCTCCAATATATTCCAATTGTTCCTTTTTAATTGCGAGATCATCTGGAATTTTCAATCTTCTTGGACCATACTTTTCAACCTTCTTCTTTTTAATATGAAAGAAAGATCCATTTTCATCATTATTGGAAAGCATTTCTTCTTCAAGATTTGTTAATTGTCTTGCCTTTCTCTTCTTGTTTTCTATTAGGGGAGGTGCAAATTCACATTTAGTTAAATGAATATGAACTGGTGTATTCAATTTAATTTCAATCTTGATGTTAATTTTTGTTTTTTCATTATCTGTTGCAAATACTCGTCTCAAATCATCATACTTTTTATAATCTGAATGTGAAAGACTCTTTTTACCATTAAAACATGTTATTGAGTGAATATAATCTGTATTCTTTTCAATTGCATCAATAAGTTTACATAAAGTTATAAAATTATTTGAATTTAAATGTTTTTCACAAATCTTTTTTAAATTTGTCTTTTCTTCATGAATTATTTGAGGTGTAATTGGAATTTTATGACTTATTATAAATGATTTGTCACAACAATTTTGAAATATTGGAAATAATTCATTATATAAAATTGATTCTTTTTCTTTTAATTCTTGTTCATCTTTAGCCTTTTTAATTAATTGATTAGAAAGTAAATATTCAAAACATGAAAATAAAACATGTCTTCCTTTAACAATTCTTGAAAGTGCTGAATTTAATTCAGTTAAATTTACATTCAAAGGTGCTTCATGAAGAAATGAATTATTCAAAATTATTGTTGATGATGAAGAGGATGAAGAGGAGGATGTAATTGATTCTTGATGTTGTTGCTGATTATTATCATCACCACTAGTGTTAGTAATATTGGATGATGTTGCTGATGGAATTATTGCAATAGAAGAAGAATCGGATGGTGTTGGTTCCGATATGTCTTCACTATTATTGATGACGAATTGTTGTGTTTCTACGAGTAACCACATTTTTTTGTAATTTGTAATGTTCAATAATTTAATAGAAGCTGTTGAATGTATTGTTGTATTGTTGAATTAATTGAGTTTATTTTCCATTAGTAATTTGAATGGATTTGCAGAACCTGAAGAAGAGGAATTATCAATAAAATCACTTTTTTGTATCTTTTCAAGTGAAATGTCAAATTCTACTTGTTGAATGGATCCATCTGTTTGTGAGATGAGATAAAATTGTGAAGGATGAAAGGTTGTTTCTTTTCCTTCAATGAAATTTCCAGATGCCTTAATAAATCTCTTATCAGTTCCAACGGTTAGTGCATATAATCTCCTTCCATCAATGGTCCAACATTCCAATATGCCTCTCCTAGGTGCAAATATCAATAATAATTCAATATTTGATTCACTATTCATATTTTCAGGTTCTGATCCAGTGAAAAACCAATAACAATGAGCTTCTCTGTATCCTTTAAATACTTTCATAACAGTCATGGTTGATAAATCAAATATTAAAATTCTTCCCAAAGAATCACTCGTTGCCAAATATTTTCCTGTATAATCCAAATCAGCATGAAATATTTCTCTCTTTTCATCTATGAATCGATTGGAAATTGGAATACGTGTACCTGGTAATATTTCTGGTTCTTCAGGTTCACTCGGTTGCTCAACTTCCTTATTTCCTCCCCATAACCATGAGCTGTAATTGGATGCAAGAGAATAAACTTTGCTTGCTACTTGTGTTGCAATTTTCTTCACTCTTGTTCTCTTTCTCACATATTCAACAATTTCATTAGCTGTTGAGTAGAGAGCTAGTGTTGATTTACCAACCGCTACAATATCAAATTCACTCTTTTCTTCCATCACTTCAAAAATTGAAGAATCAGAACAATGAGAATATAAACAACAAGCATCATTAAGTTTAGCAAATTCTTGTAAATTCCATTTCTTGTATTCTAAATCATCCAAATCCATGGAAGGATTTTCACTATTTAATTCCTTTTTGAGATGGAGAGGATCAATAGTGATGACATGATTAGGATATATTATTAAAATAATTTCTTTTTGAAAATTTGGAAGAAGTGTGTTGTGAAAAACACTTTGTGATCGAATTTTAACAATTTCCAAATCGTGAAATCTCTCTTCACGAATAATTTTATCTTGTTGAACATCATAAATTCTCAAATAACCTTCCGAAGATCCAATCATTAGAAAATTTTGATTACTAAATGAAATCCACATTAAACAAGTAATTTTCTCTCTTAATCCAAATAAATATTAAAATAATAATATTCATATTTACCCTTCATATTTACATGGTGAATTTACTTGAATTAATTCAAATTCATTTATAGAATTATCATATATACATAAATAACAATGACGATAATGTCCAATTCCAACTAATTTACAATCCCTTGAAACAGCAACAAGTGTATCCGAATAATTTAATAACCATTCATCATAGGATTTATCTTCATTATCATTGGAACGATCATATATTTTTAATTCCTTTCCGATCCAATTTAAAGAATGATCAATATTAAATGCCTTTTGAATTGTTTGCATTTTTTTTAATTTTAAATAAAAAATAACAATGTAAATAAATGAATCTGGATGATCCCAATATTTGAATAAATTGAAAGATATGTGTTTGCTCAATTTAATGGTCAAATTCAGAAATTTATTCCTCTAAAAAAACTTCCAATTTCCTCCCAAATTAAAAAAAATGAAGAGAAAGTCAACTGCGACAAATTAGTATAAATGATCAGCACTCCAAAAAGCTTAAAGCTGCAATATGTAGTGAAATTCCCCAAAGAGAACAGCACGAAGATGAACAAGAATTAGTAAAACTGATATTATTCCATCCATTATTCCATCCATTATTTCAAAATTAATTTCCTCCTAGTTGATCTTTCCATAAAATAGATACAATTCCAGAACTTGCTGGTATTACATATTTAACTACAGTTACAACTAAGCAATTAAATAATTTAATAATTGCCATAACTACCAAGAAACAATGTTATGTATTTGATTCAGAATGTAAATCATGGAAACTTAAATTTAAATTACCTTTATTTAGTTCTGTTCAGATTGACAGTCAATTTCAGAATGTTTATATTGGAACAAGAGATTGTATTAAGAAATATAAAATATTAGATAATGTAACAGATTATTCAAAAGAATCTCCTATTTGGGAAAGTAAGATTAGTTCAAAGTATAAAATGAATTGTGCTAAATCAAAGAATGAAATGTATATCATACATAATATTAATACAATCTATGTAATGGATTTATTGAATGGATCAAAAAAAAGAGAAATTAATTTAAATCAATCAGATTACAATAATATTGATGTATTATATGTGGATGAAAGGAGGGACAGCTTTATCTTTTATATGAAGAAAGTGATGAAGATAGTGACGATGAACTATAACTTTTCATCTTGAAGGATGAAAGATCTGGAATTGAAATTAAAATTGACAGATGTTATTCAAAAGTTGTGTCAATAATTCCATATTATGAAAATTATTTCATTAGCTTGACAAATATGGGAGAAGCCTATTTATATGAAATAAAACAACAAATTTGTTTCATACTTTTACTGTTTCTAATTGAATGGTCATTCTATTCCACAAAAAGACAAAAAGATAAAAGACTACAGCACCACAGGTTCCCAAGTTGTCTCCAACCTCAGTACTGATGTGGCTCGACGATGCTTAACTTCTCAAATCGGACGGGATGAGGTGCATTCATCGTGATATGGCCGTAGCCATCAACTATCTTAATTTCTGAAATATAAATCAGTTCACTCTATATATAATCCACTGAATACAAGGCAAACCACATCCGTAACTCAGTAAAATAGCAAATGTATGACCATTTCAATTGAGTTCCATCAAATTGGATGAAAGAACCATTTTGCTCATCCTTATAGTTATCAATAACTTTAACAATTGGAGCATTATTTCCAACCAGTACTTAATGATCTAACACTTTGAACTTTAGTAACCATATTTATAACTGCCTTTAAGTTGTGTAACTTAGAGTCGAATTCTACTAGATCGCTACTTAGAAGCAATGTCAATTAAAAAAATTTTCAATTAATTAGATACGACGGGAAGCCTGCCAGGAATATGGCGACAATCCCGCTACAGTCTTTGACTGTATGAACAGTGAAGGCAACGAAGACAGAATCTTGTTGGTTCAGGTTTTGTTTGAAGAAATAGATAAGGTTGATCAACCTAGTATTTATTGAACTGTTGCCATGTTGAATTGCTTGATGCAAATTTTGGTTTCTCATATTCTGATCAATTCTAAATTGAAACTTCATCTATTTCAAAACGTTATTTACAATTTACTGAATTAGTTACAAGTTAATTTACATCTTTTTCGATTTGGTAATCTTCTTAGTGGTGGTTGATTGTTGTTTAGCTCTCTTTTCAATTGAATTTTTCGAAGATCTTTTCACTGAAATTTGTTTACCATTTAAATTTGCAAGATGATAATCAATTTTATTACGATGTCTAGTTCCATCTATAATTGGTTTAGATCTTGACCAGACCGTTTTTGTTGGAATTCTATCTTCGTAAGAAGAATTTGATGAAGTATTTCTAGCTGGCATTTTGCTCATAGTGTTGGTTATTTAGTTATTTTGTTTTGTTGTGGAAATATCTCAATGAATCAATATTGAAAACCAATAAAAACAAGCCAATATTGTTGAAAAACCAAGTTCAAAAGTGTGAAATCTGCAAGAAAAAGACTACAGCACCACAGGTTCCCAAGTTGTCTCCAACCTCAGTACTGATGTGGCTCGACGATGCTTAACTTCTCAAATCGGACGGGATGAGGTGCATTCATCGTGATATGGCCGTAGCCATCAACTATCTTAATTTCTGAAATATAAATCAGTTCACCCTTTACATGGCTTCAGAACAATAACAAAGAAAGAGATAAAGGATATTACAATGTAATATAATTAGGCCGAAAACAGACCTCTTTTATTCACCAGTGCATACGTATGTTTCTTCAATTGTTCATCTATAACTTTGTGAATTTGTTTACAACCCTCTATTGCATGTTCCAAAACCTTTTCAAATTGATCCAAAGATAATTTCGAATCCATTTGTAATAAAGTGACCTTATCATGTTTTGGAAGAAGAGCAATTGGTACATCTGGACCACCAGCACAATCTTCAATATAATTTAAATCTGTTAATGGAGAACCTTGAATAAATCCAGCAGCACATGAAACAACAAAATCTTTCATTGGAATACCTGCATCTAATAAGGCAAGTGTTGCAGCATTTATACAAGCACATCTAGTACCTCCATCAGCTTGAAGAACTTGCATGAAAATATCAATTTGTGTTCTTGGATATAAATGTGTTAAAATTACAGATTCAAATGTTTGTCTAATCACAACTGAAATTTCAGTCGATCTTCTATCCTTTTTGAATTGTCTCTTTCTTTCTCCTGTACTAAATGTTGCCATACTATATTCACAATTAATAATTGCTCTATCATTCTTCATTTGTGATTTATTTTTGACTTCTCTCGGACCATAAACAGCAGCTAATACACGTGTATTGCCCTGTTCATAATATGCTGATCCATCGGCTCTACTAAATAAATTTAATTTAAATTTAATATTTCTAATTTCATGGGAACGTCTTCCATCAACTCGCAATCCTTCAGGTGAAATGTATTCAATACGCGAACTCATTTTTTTAAATTATGAAATTAAAATGTTGTTCCAATAAATTAATGATGATGATTAATACAATTCATAATAAACCAAACCAACCAATACACACATAGGATGAGCTTAAATTGTCAATGTTAGTCTGATGATATTATGAATTGTAATTCTATTTCCCTTCTTTCTAGAAATCATCATCATGAATTAAAAGCCTCCGAACATTCTCATTCTTCTTCTATCGGTTGGTGTATTTCTTACCGTGACACTGATGGGTTTTCCAACTGAAGTAGTACAATGCACTTGTGAAATTAATTCAAATTGAATACTAGAATCACGTGAATCATCTCCTGGAAACATGTGTTTGATTCCTCCCTTTTGAGCAAATTGTTTTAAAAATTGAAAGAATGTTCCATCACCATTACTACTGTTAGCATCTAGTGAAGGTCTAGAAGAAGAAGGATTAGAATAATTAGAAAAGAAAACTGAGAAAATCCAATAAGCAATACCACCCAATATTAAAAAGAAAGATTCGGAAGAAAACCAAGATGATGATCTTGTCATATTTTTATATTCTTGTTGTTGTTTATAATAATAAAACGATAGTGTGATGTTACAAAATTATTGTGGAGTGATAAGGCCAACAAATTGGTTAAAGTAATTTTCAAAGGCAAGGTAACGGAAGTTAGATGGCAATAAACCATAACTTCTTAATGGAGTTCCAGTGGTATCAGTTCCTGTCCAAGAAATAAATACTTTTACATCTTGTTGCTTCTCTGTTGACTGGTCATAGTACATTCCACACTGTTTTTCACGTACACAGGGCAATGTTAGATCAAGTGAACAGGCAACCTTAGCAGAATCACAATTTTCAACAAACTTAATTGGTTGAGAAACTGAAGTAGAATTCAAAACTCCTGAAGACAATTGAATACCAACAGTGTAGTACATAGTGAAGGATTCTCTAGAGCTAACAGTCTTCACAGATCTATAATAATATTTATCGGATGAAAAACTTCCAACCCAAAGAGTGACAGTACTATTTTCACTAGCATTCATGAAAGAACTTGCTGTTGTTGTATTAAAATTCCACAAAATTTAGAGTTTCATCATGATGAATTAGATCCAATAATAATAATAAATAAATTTTCATTCAAATAATAAAACGTACTACCGTTGAGTGTAAGTTCGGATAACTCGTCAACTAAAACGCAGAAAGGATAAAATTTGCTGGTTTCGTTGTTACTCAATTCAACAACAAGTTTGGTTGCTTGTTTTGTTGTACAGGAGGTTTGTTTTCCTTGTGGATCCATACCTGGCCAACATGGTTTAGTACAGTCAATGGTAGTTGTATCTGCCGATTTAACGTGTGGAAGAATAACAGATAAGAGAACTATCAAGGCTCCTAGCAAATAGATAATTTTCATTTTTTTAAATTTAAAAAAAAGAAAAAGGAAAGACAACGATGGATGTAAATTAGAATCAAACTGCGCCACTCAATAATTTTATTATTACCCAATAACAAAAATAACAAGCCTTCATCAGCAGAAATCCATTATTCAACGTTAACATGTCGTTGATGGATGACTTTAATGGATTGCTGAATACGACTCTATTTATTCATTTTCAAAATCATTCAATTACATTTTAAATCTCAATCCATACCTATTATGTTTAATTGCTCATATGCTCCTCCATACTCAGACAGCTTCTCTTCCTCTCTTTCTCTGATTCATTTATCAAATCTATTAATAATACACAACGCAGTGAAATGAATGGATCACTTTTGAGAAAAGCCTTAGAAATTTCCAATTTAAAAAAAAACATTCAAGATGACTCTTAATCAATCACGCTCAAATCAAATCGTTCATTTAATTGTGGATCAATCTAGCCTTCAATCAGGATTGAGAAATGAATTGATGAATAATGTAATGGATTCATTAAAGGAATGGGCTCTTAAAGTGTCATTGGTAGCATCTAGGAAATACAGGATTTTGTTTTCCCTTCTCAAAATTACTAATCAGTCAATTGTAGAAGAATTAATTCCAGTCGATGAGTTGAGTTTACAATCAATTGCAAGGAATATGAAATCCACATCGGATAAGGATCAAGGTATGTGATATTTTGTATTCCAATATTAGTTAATCTTTTCGAAGGCTTTAGAAAAAATTCACTTTCGAATAGTATCTCCATCTTGAACTCATTTCTTGATAATTACATGGTTGGAGAATGTGAGTCTACTCAGATTATACTCTTCACAATGAATCAATTTTCTAAAGGAGATTCTCTTGAAGAAGTATTTCGTGTATGTTTTACAATTTAATATTTAACTAAATTTAATATTTGATTTAGCAAATGTATAATGAAAATAAGGACCTGCATATAGTAAGGGTTATTCATGATTTTGAGGAAGAAGTTATCATTGATCAGGAGGTTATCAAGTGTGTTGAAAACTATCCAAACATCAGGATTAGTTCAATTTTCAATGATCCTATTTGTATCTCGAGAGAATTATTTCAATCAACAAAACATCTAATGAAGATAGAGATTGGTGGAGCAAGGTTATTTCTCATGAATGACAAAGAGCCTCTAAATTTGAGCATTCTGTCAACTGGTTCTTCTAATTGTTTGAATGTTGAAATGAAAGAAAGATTATGCTTGTGTCATGGTGAAAAGGTGAATTCAAATTTATTTTACCAAACATTGCCAAGAGGTTTTATTTGTAGTAAGACTCTGAAAATGATCGATAGTAGCGATACCACACCAGCTCTCTTGTTAAACTCTCCAATGGCTCAAATACGTCTTCCAGCTAATGATGAGTCTGCTTCAGAGACACATTCTGAAAACATTGACATTCAAGTTATAAGTAAGGTTCACTTATCTTCTGTTCCATACGAATTGCTCTTTGAAAGATCATATGTCATGGTGCCATTTACTGACATTTCCTATGATATTCATGATTTGGAGAGAAATGAGGGGAATATAGCCTCTCTATGTACTACTTTGAACGAGGGAAAGTTCGGTATTGTTTGCACCTCAACATCTAACATTGATGGTACGAGCATTAAGGGTAGTGGAATATTGTATCATTTCATAATATTTCCAGACTCTCAATGTAGATGTCTTTACATTCAACAACTTTCAACAACTGATGAGATTTTACCACCAGTCCATATTCCAGTCATGATACATACTGAAGAACAACTTAGTGAAATGAACCAAAAGCTAAACAATTTAGAAACAATTGAAGATTTTAACCCTCTTCACTTATCATCTAAAAAAGTTGATTTTGCTTTCAAATCTATTAAGGGAGTTAGCCCTATAAAAAGAATTAAGGAAGTCTTACCAACCAAAGCACCAACACAAGCGAAAAAGGTAGAATCTAAACAACTTGCGACACATCAAAAGTCAATCAAGTCCAATCCAATAGCCACTAATGAGAAAAAGAATTACAAACAATTAGTCAAGAAGATTGTATTCAAATAAATCTTTTATTTCTTTTTAAGACTGAAACGATTCTTCATTTCATCTATCAAATTTGTATCTTGTTTACTGTTCATTCCAAGCAATGGATTCAAGAAGCTGATAGTTCTTCTTCTAGGATCCTCATTTGAAATACTACTTCTCATTGGAGAAGCTCTTGGTTTATCAGAACTTGTAGGGTCCACATAATCCTCAATTTCTTCCTGAATATCGTTTGAAGCTGATTCAGGAATAACCATGGAAACAGGTCTTTGTGGCAATTCTTTTGGTTCTACTCTTTGGAAAACTTGAGTTGTTATAGGTGTTTCTGGAAGTTCTCTGATTGAGAATCTTGATGGTAATGTTTCAGTTGTTGGGAGTCTGAAAGATTTTCTTCTCAACGCGTTGAGTTCTTGATCAGATTGAGACAGTTTTTGTTCGGATTGGATAAGTTTTTGCTTTTCTTCTTCCAACAACTTTTGACATTTCATTTCCTTTGTGATTGAGTGGGCAAGAGAGAATTGAAGTTTCATATTATCTTGTTTTGACTTTTCCAATTGTTGTCTTAACTCATCAATTGTTTGGCTACTATCAGAGTTTCTGATAAAGTTTCTTTCCAATTTTTCAAACATATTTGCAAGTTCTAATTGCATATCAGTAACAGCTTGTTGGGAAGTTGAAATTTGATTCAACAACATTTTGTTTGTTGAAATGTAGTATTGAATTTGGGATTTGTATGTAATTGAGAGTTCTTCTAATTGTTTAGAAATATGTTTTCTCTCATTAATCTTTTCTTCTCTAACATTACCCAATGTTGTTGTTACTAATTTAATTTCATTCATCAATTTAGCATTTCTACTACTTAATTCATTGACATCTTCAATAACTTCATCATCGTTTCTAGCATTATTAAAATCAGAAATTATCTTCTTCAACTCTTCAATTTCTGCATCCTTCTTCTTGATAGTTTCTTCATATTTACTATCAATTTCACTAGCTCCAATTCTTTCACATGCAGTTTCAATTTTTTTAACATTGATTTCATCATTTTGTTCAAATAAACTCTTAATTTCAATTGAGAATTTGTCAAAACTATTCTTTTGTAAAGTTTCAGTCATACTGCTTTCAAGTAATTTAATCTTTTCATATAATTTTGTAACTTTTCTATTCAATTTCTGATTATTCTCTTCAAGGGTTCTATTTCTTTCTTCCAAAAACTTGTTTCTATTTTCATATTCTTGTTTTTGATAAACCATTTCATAATTAATTTCTTGATGATCCAATTGTTGAATAACATTGTGAATAAGTGAAAATTCTTCTCCATATTCTCTCTTCAATTGTTCAATCGATTCTTGAGTTTTTGCATCAATAATTACATTTGAGGTTAAATAATTTGAATTTTGAGAATCGAATGAATTTCTTTGATTTCTAACTTGATCAAAGTTTCCTTTTTCAGCTTGGAATTTAGTATCAGATGTTCCAAATAATTTTCTAAATGAACTTTCATCGGTACATAAACTAAGGAACATTTCTCTTTGTTTTTCAACAGTTGATAATAATGATTCCTGCTCATTCACTAATTCTTGAATATTCTTACTTTCTTCTAAAGTATTATCTAATTTCTTTCTTTCTTCATGTATCTTTTTAATATTTTCAATCAAATCTCTAATTTCACTCTTGTATGAATTGATAGAACTTTCATACTCTTTCAATGATGCTTTATGAACAGAATATTCAGCTATTAACATATCAATTGCCTTATTCTTTTGTTCAAATTCACCAATTGATTGAACCCATCTACTAGCTTCATCAATTGGATTTGTAATATTATACTTTTTAGCATTGAGAGCTTTTTCTTCTTCAATATTTCTTCGTGTCAAGTTAAACCATTCATTCTTTTCAGAAACATCAGAAAATCTTAACATGAGTGGAGGTTCATTAAGAGTTAATAAAATTAAAGATGTTTCACCATTATCAGATAAAGTAGTAAATACTAATGGGAAATAAGCAATATCTTTCTTTCCTGTTGTATAAGCAAATATATCAGATGCCAAATAACAATCTGCCCATTCTTCTCCCTTTTCATTTACAATTCTAATTCTACCTTCCTTCATGAATTTTCTCCATGAAATTAATAATTTACCAAGTTGACTTGCTACTTTTTGTGTGGTTTCAAAATGTCTCTTACTTTCATTAATTCTTGATACAATCTTTTCCATATTATCACCCAATGATTTTACTTTACAATAAATTACAGATTCTGATGGTGTAATCTTAACTAATCTATCAAACAAATTCTTATAACCAAATATTCTTTGCATTGGTTTTGGTAATAAATCTCTTAAACCTAATCCTTTAGATCTTGGATCATCTCTAAATTGTTTCAATATTTTTTCAAATTCCTTATTCTTCTTACATAAATCATTAGTAATTTCAACTGCCATATCATAACCTTTAACATAATCACTATAGAAATTTAGAAATGGAAGCTAAAATAATAGAAATAGTAATAAATTGTTGCAATTTAGATGGTGGAAGTAGTAATGGTAATATTGGTTAAAATATAGAGTTTCAACAACTTACATGTCTAACAAATACATCAAGAATCTTTGGAATATTGCCACTATTAGTAATTTCATCTTTCTGTTTTTGAATTTCATTCAATAGAATTTTTGTTAAATTTCTGATTTGTCTCACTAGTTATTCAATGATGATCAAATTCTATAAAATCGAAACTCTCAAACTTACCATTACCAAAGAGTTTCTTAATTTCATCTTGTGAAATAATTGGTTTTTTAGCTTCAATTCTTTGTTCAAACATTTGAATATAAAGAGTATCAAGAATTTCCAAAAAGTACAAATAACTCTTCTCTGTGTCCACCAATTCGTTAACGATACACATAATTTCTCTAACTCTATTTTCTATTTGTATTGGTAGTATTATTATATTTAGATAGATATTAATTTAATATTAAGAATGAAGAAATCACATACTTCCTAATAATCCCTTTTTAAATTTGTAACTTCTCCAAATCTTTAATACAATTTTACCTGCTTGCTCTTCTGCACATTTAACTGGTGATGCGAATGAGGCTGGAAATAATCCAATTCGATCACCAATTTTACCAATACTCCATCCAGCAATATTATCTTTTGTTACACCAACAACATCTCCCTTACGAAGAGTTAACTCCCGATCACGTTGTCCTTCAAAATCAAAATCAAGCTTTATAAATTAACAACTCCAATCTATAAGGCTTCATTCTTACTTACTTTTACGTAGGACTTGATTTCATTCTTACTAAAATCAAAATCTGCAGAAGTTAAAACCGCGTTACTCATTTTTTTACAGTTTGTCTTTTTAGCTAAGGCACAAACAAAACAGAATTGCTGTAGTAGTGTATTCATCCAACTCTCTGGGGAGACCTTAATTTGATAAACGTTGATGACAATAAGACAACGACAAAACAATTCTACCGTAACCTTTTGAAGAAAGTCAAAAGATCTCTTAACTCCGAATTATTTCAATAAATACATGGGATGAATAATATTTAATCAACAGGTGGTTGTTCATCTTCTGGTGATTTCTTCAAAAGTGCTTTTTCTTCTTCATCTAAGCCTTCGACATCAACTTCAGAGATGGAAACATCATCAACATTTTGAATGAGTTGTTCAATTTGTTCAATGTTAGCTGCTTCTTCAAAGTTAACGTTACCAAATAATCCAGCATTATTAAAGTCCATTTGACCCATCAATTGAACCAATTCTTCACTTGACAAATCCCATAACTTATCGAGAGCAACATCTACACCTTGTGTAAGAGCTATTTCAAAGAAGAATTTGATGAAATCTTCTGTCAAATCAGATTCCTTAATAAAATCTTCCATTTTCATTTCCTTAAGTTCGCCCTTAGCACATTTTTCAATCAATTGTTCGTTCAATTTCTTCATACCTCTGTTCATTGTTAAACCAATGACACCACTGAAAGCTTTAGAAAGTCTTGACCCAAACAATTTGTCAACAGCAACAGCAGCATATCTTTCCTTGAAATTAAGTTGAGACATGTATTCACGTTGCATATCAGCCAAACCTTCTTTGAAAGTGTCACCAGTTAATGGCCAACCCCAAATAACAAATAATTTAGCACACATTTCTGCAATCTTTTTGATAAATGAACCTTTGGCATCAATTGTAATTTCCTTGGTATAATCAATAACAATTTCTTTAGCTCTTCTATCCTTTTCAGCCATTGATGCAATTTGTGAGTACATGAAAGCATCTCTTGCCAATTCAGGTAAAAGTTCACAAGTATGATTAATCAACTTCTTCATACCATAACTATCTTGGAGAATACAATTATAACCACAATCGCTACATTCTAATTGTTTAGTTTCTTCATCATAAAAAACGTCATCACTTAAACAATCAGGACACCAAGATTGAGTCCAATTTTCTCTCTTTGAAATACAAACATGAATACCCTTATTATGTTCCAATTTTTCATCTTCAATAACTTTCTTAATTGCCTTCAATTGAGTTGTATCAGCCAAATCACTCTTATTTAAAACGAAAATGACAGGTGTTGGTGAGAAAACTTCTCTAACAACTTCAGCTTCAAAGTTTTCAAATCTACCACGAGCAGTATTGACAACATACCAAACAACGTGGATATGATTAGTAACATCTGGTGATTGTCTCAATTGCATAAAGAATTTACCAGTTTCTTTAATAAATTCTTCGTGACTGTTCCATTCCAATCCTTTAGAGTCATAAATAACAACTGGCTTATCGGATGGTTCATACTTTTGGAAATGTTGAGTCACAGGCATACCGGCACCTGCTCTAGCTAATTCTTCACCAAAAACTGCATTAACTAAACTACTTTTACCTAATCAAAATAATATTAAATCCAATAATAATAATAATTAATTCATCGTCATCATTAATCGCCATTAAAAAGAATATTATTATAATTAAATTCCAATAATAACAATCAAATCATCACAGATCATTAAATAAACCTACCAGCACCAGTAATACCAGCAACTAAAATATTAGGCTTCTTACAAGCTTTGGTACAATCGTTAAAGTGATCTTGGAAACTTTTAACCAATTCTTCAGTTTCTCTTTCGGATAATTCTGAGAGTTTTTGGTTCATTTCATTCATACCAGCTGCTTGGACAGCTTGGTTTGGATCGGAAGGATCTTGTGGTGGAGTGTTATTGTCTTGTGGCAACATTTTTTTGATTGAATTTTTTAATAGAATTTTGCTTACGTTGGGAGGATGTGGAACGTGATAAATACTACAGTCATCAAATGATGGAGAGAATCAGTTAATATTATGAGAATTGAATTGACAATATTTCCTTAATATTTCTACTATTTATTCTGATAAAAGATTAATAGTGAGATCTGTCTTTTTTATTTTCAATAACCCAATATAAATTTGGTTCATCATCCTCTTCTGTGTTTTTCTTTTGTGATGCTACAATAAAACATCACAACTCTGCAATTTGATTATTCACAAAAGATCTTTAACAATTTCCGTTATAGATTTCAAATTGTAATTATTTGTAAATTAATTTTCCCATTTTGGCTTGTTCTTTTGAGCATTAGAATACTTGGCAATTCCTTTTCTAATGGCTTCTTCACCATAATTTGTAAATTTTGGAGGATTATTAGAATAATATTGAATAGATAATAATCCAACAGCAGCTGAAAGTACAAAACTAGTATTCCAAAACTTTACAGTTCTAGCATTTTGACCACTCACTAAACTAGCAACCATTGAAAAGAATGATGCAGCACATGAAAAGAAGCCAAAAGCAGCCATTGGTCTTTTGATAAGATAATATGTTGCGTACTTGAATCTACCTGTACCAGCATCAATTCTTTGAAGAACATCTGGGTTTGAATCGGATGCGTAATCATATGATGAGAGAGCAGAAGGTGGATTGTTCTTATTCATTTTTTTTGATATTGTCTTTTTTCAAGCCTTTAATTAAATATTTAAATATTCAAGTGCACAGATGGTAATATTGGATTTACATAAAATTGATCATGAATTATTGGCTCTTCTATAAATTACATTTATTGTTTTACATTTGTAACATCTCTAATAAGAGAAATATTATCACCTTTTAATAATATTCTTCCAATTTTCTTTCTTTGTGATTTCTTTGTATAAATTTCTTCCGTTTCATCCAAAACAATATTCATATATTCATCAAATCCTAGAATATTTCCTTCTATCCGTAAATCAGTATTTTCATATAACCATATTTGAATTCTACTTCCCTGCTTCAAATACTCAAAAACTTGAGTCTTTAATTATTGTTAAAATGATCCGATCATGTATTTAAATACTTACAATTGGCTGGGTCATCATCTTTTGTTTCTTGTGCATTTTCAAAGTAGCCTAGAGAGAATGTTGTATTGAATATTTTTTTGGAATTTTATTTGAATTTATTTCTTTCTCCACATTCAAATAACCACTACCAACAGAGTATGATTATGATAATACTGTTGTTTCTCAATCACATTAATTGATGTTGGGTTCAATAAAACAATGTTTTTGAAATAATGGTGAATATTTATTTCTTCTTTCTTTCTTGTTTTTCGAATAATGAAAGTAAATTAGAAGTAAATGATTTGGTTCCAACAAGATAGATGTGTAAAGCTAACAAATAAGTAAGAACACATGAAATTAAAATTAAATCCAATGAAATTGGTGAGACCTTATGAATGGATAATTTGACAATAGTATTGGTAAAGAATTTGTATGGTGAATTACCAATAATGAAATCTTGAACTTGAGCTTGACTTGTGTATTGTTGGAGAGTAACTTTGAGATTCTTAACAATTTCATTATCCTTATTCAATGTTGGAGTAAATCTTGATGATTTAGTCATAATTTTCAAGAAGGATCTGATAAACTTTTCATCATAATCCAAATTATCAATCTTGATATTTTCCGACAAGTGATTAGCAATAGATTCAGTAATTAATCTAACATTTCTCTTCAATTGTTCAATATCAAGAGGTAATTGATCTAATGAATTTGTCTTTGTTAACAAAGATGGAGATGGAGCAGATTGAGATGAAATACTTGCTGAAGAAATACCCTTCTTTGAGAATATTTCATGTTCCCAAACAATTTCTCTTTCAACCTTCTTTTCAATGAATTGAAGATCGATTTGCATTTGTTTTGCAGTCTTTAAAAATTGCTTAAATAAATTAATAACATTCTTATCAGTACTCTTTTCAGAAATATGAATAAATAACTTGTTCTTTTCAGTCATGGAAACCAAACTATCCAAACATAAAACAAAATCCAATTGATTAATTAATCTTTGATCAGCATTCTTTAACCAATGTTTAGTTCCAGTAAAACCTAATCTGCTAGCACCAGTCAAGATAAATAACAAATTATGAGATAACTTGGTAGATTGAGCAGAGTTAATCTTTTGGAATAATCTAGCAATTTCTAATAATCCAATAACACCAGTACTATCTCCAAAAGATCCACTTGCAGATAATCCTGGAATTGAGCTAATAGTATCATAATGAGCAACAATTCCAATGGTTTGTGATTTTTCATTAGATTTTCCATTTAACAAACTATGAATATTAACAACTGGAATTTGTTCAATTGGTTTAGCTTCTTGTTCAGTAATAACAGCTTGATAAGATTCATCTAAAATAGAATCACTACCATTTTCAATATCTCTAATCATTTGACTTGTTTTATCATTCTTGAAAATGAAATAAATTGGCTTTTCAAATTTAGAAACAAGTAATTGTTTTTCAATAGATTTAAATTGTTCAATAATTTCAAAATTTAATCCATCTCTTGGTAAAACAATTAATAATCCACTAACATCTTCTCTATTAATAATTGTTTGTAATTTAGCATTCTTTGTGTTATTAGTTAATAATTGTTCAATATTTAAAACAATAATATTTCTAGCAGAAATTGATGATGAACCAAAATTTGCAATACTAATTGGTGAATTTACTCCGGTCAATCTAGAACCATATTGTTGACTTCCTTTATCATATTGAATTAATCTATATGCATCCATATCAAACCCATTAATAAAGGAGATGACTAACATCATCATCACAATCATTAAACAAGCCTTGTTTTTAAATTGTTGTTGGAGCATTTTTTTCTAAATTCAAAAATAAAAAAAATTATTTTTTATTGATTATTATTATTACAATTATTATTTCCATGTCCCTATAGTGAGATTTTGTAATTTTTCAATATAGTAAATATATTAATAATTCTAAAATAGAGTTAATATAGTTGCTTCTTTGAACTTCCTACTCACCACAACTGAAGTGAACATTATTTTGGCGCCATCTTTTTCTACAATTTTAAAAATAAACAAGTTGGAAAAAATCAAGCCACCTTCTTGTTTAATATTTAGCTCAACATTTAAATAGTCATCATCATCGGAAGATAATAATGAATAAACAAACCAAGCCGAAAGCTAAAAATCCTGACCCAAAGATGAAGGGTAGTCCTGGGCTGACTGTTCAATCCGTGCAATCGCTTCAAATGCAGTCTCTTCAGCCTGTAAGGAATTCTCAAACAATGACTACAAAGGTTGCAATGACACGAGAGGAATTAGATGAAAAAAAGAAGAGGTAGGTGTTATGAGCTTTCTTAATTTACATTACTCTCAGATGGTTGGAAGAAAGAGCAAAAGAACAATTAAGGAAGAGAATTGAAGGAAACATTATAAAAGAACAAGTAATTCCAGTACATCATCATTCAGATCCAGGTAAACCAACACAATTAAATTCAAGTTTTATTGGATTATTAACTGATACTGTTGAGAAATCATTGAAGGAAGAATACAAGATTTCAAAATCAATTTTGGAGGACCAAAAGAAGGATGAAGGATTGAATGAGGAAGATGAAAACTTTTTAGATAATGAAATGGAAAATCATAAATGTGGAGTTTGTTTTGAATTAATGTTAGATAATGATCACACACCAATGATGATTGTACCATGTGGACACTGTTTTTGTAAGAATTGTTTAGGATTATTGTCAAATAAGAAATGTCCAACTTGTAGAGCTCCTATCAAATCACAAGCTGTTAACTTTGCTCTTAAACAAGTGATTTCCTCTTACTATGAATTAAAACAGCAAAAAGAAAAGAAAAAACAAGAATCAATAACGAATGAAAACAGATTATCAACAAGTGGAGGAATAGATCCTTCCATTGTTTCGACTTTCAAATCAATATTGAGCAAAACAAGTGGTGAAAATAGAGGTGAGGTTGAAAAGTATCTGTCTCAATTCGTTAAAGCAAAAACCAGATTGAACATTCTATCTGATTCACTTGGAGAAACATCTAGAGATATAGATACACTGAAAAAACATGAACTTATAGCCGAGACACATTTGAATCAATTTAATGAGGATCACACTGGACTAGTTAAAGAAATTGAAGAAAAGATGAAACAATTGGAAGAATTGAAAAGAGCAATTGAGGAACAAGAGCGAGTAGTAAGTACTTTAATGCGTCAACTATTTATGTAATATCTTTGAATCATTCAACAGTCTAAGGAAATAGCTCAACACAGACAACAAGTTGAACAAAAGAAACAATTCATTTTACAATCAATGCAATCCATTGAGAGAGAAAGAGAAAAATCCAAATTGATCATTAAAAACTACATTCCAAATTTATGTGAAAGGGATTTTGAAAGTTAAGCATTATTAGATTCTCTCTTCTTTTGTAAAACAGCAGTCAATAATTTAATTATACCTTGAGTAGCAACATTTGAAAGAGATTTTTCCTTTTCCCAATCTGAAATAGCTGGAGCTTGACAATTTCTAAGAAGTAATCTTCTTCTTTGCTTTTCAACAGATTTAACTTCTTTTTCTTCTTTCATAAATTCCATAAATCGTTGATAAGTCTTTGCTTTAGAATTTACTAATAAAGGTAATTCAGTTGAAATCTTTTGTGATTTATCTTTTTGAATTTGTCTATTTAAAATTTCAGAAATGACTGCTGATAATTCCTTTTTAGTTTCTTCATCTTCAAGACCTGGTTGTCTATTTTGTGGTGGTTCTTTTTGTTTTAATGATTCAATAGCTTCATTATCATCATCATCTTCTTCAAATTTAACTTTTTTAGAATCATTCTTATGTGATACTAATTCATCACCATCAAATTCATTTAAATTATTAATTTCTTCTTCTTGTTCGGAATCACTATCAGCATCACGTTTTCTCTTTAATTCTTGTTGTTTAGTTTCTTTTGTTGATGAAGAAGAAGCCTTGTTCTTTTTTGTTGTTGTGGATGCTGATTTCCTGCCTGTTGATGATGAAGGCTTGCTCTTCTGTGATGGTGGTGCTACTTGTTTCTTTGCAGGCATTTTATTTGATGTTTAATATTTTGTTGAATTTTATCTTTATAAAACACTTGAAAGAAAGTTGTTGAATAAAAGGATGATGAATTATTTTACTTTAATATTTTACTATTATGAATACATATGAAACCAAGTAAATGTATATCAATGTAATATGAATTCATCCCGTAATTTGATTCAGAAAAAGAGGTAGGACCATCTTGAAAAATTCCGATGTTTTTTCAGTCAATATTTGATGAAGGAAATTGATTTGATGATAAAAAAATTAATTCAATAAAAAAAATGAGAAGAACAACATCAACCTCGGTATCATTAGTCCGAAACCTCCTCTTAACAAGAGGAAGCAATAATATTCATTCCGCAACCATCACATCTACCTTCTTAAAGTCTAGTTTAAATCGTCATAAACAATCTTCTATTTTTAATTCGAATAATAATTTTACTAGACAATTTCATACATGTAAGTTACATTTACTATTGTACAATAATATATTTAATAATACTATTTAATAATACTAAAAAGCCAATTTAATATTAAAAGAAAAAGATCCATATAAAATATTAGGAGTTCCAAAAACAGCAACTAAGGAAGAAATTAAAAAGAAATTTAAAGAAATGGCTAAAAAGTTTCATCCAGATATTAACAAGGCTGCAGATGCTAAAGAGAAATTTGCAGAATTGAATGGAGCTTATCAAATTCTAGTTGATGATGAAAAACGTAGAATGTATGATATGACTGGAATTGGTGGTGGTGGAAATCCTTTCGGTGGAGGTGGTGGAATGTCACGTGAACAAGCTGAAGAAATATTTAATCAATTCTTTGGAAGAGGTGGTCCTTTTGGTGCAGGTGGTATGTATTATTATTTTTTAAATGTTTATTTAATATATTGTAATGTTTATAATATTTAATATATTGTAATAATAATTTAAAATAATAGGACCTGAAGGAGATCCATTTGGATTTGGATCGGCAGGTGGTGGTGGTGGACAACCACGTGGACCTCGTCAAGGAGCTGATGTTCGTAAATCTATTCGAATTAGTCTTAAAGAAGCAGTTACAGGAACTAAAAAAGATTTAAGAATTAATAAGGCTATTGAATGTACACCTTGTAATGCAACAGGTGTTAAAGCAGGTACAAAACCAAAATCATGTACAAAATGTAATGGAACAGGTACAATGACAATGCAACAAGGATTTTTCATTTTAAGATCAACTTGTGATAGTTGTAATGGAGCTGGTAAAATTCATGAAGATTGTCCATCATGTAAAGGTGAAGGATATACATCTGAAATGAGAACTGTTGAAGTTACAATACCTTCTGGTGTTGATACAGGTTCTACTTTAAGATTACCAGGTAGAGGTGCTGCTGGTCAAAGAGGTGGTCCACCTGGTGATATGTTTTTAGAAGTTTTTGTTGAACCTGATCGTACTTTTACTAGAAAGGGTGATGATTTGGATACAAAGATTAATATTTCACTTTCACAAGCAGTTTTAGGTGGTTCAGTTGAATTAAATTCAATTACAGATGAAAAATTACAAATTCAAATTCCATCTGGTGTTCAACCTGGTGATAGAGTTACTGTTAAAGGAAAGGGTATCAAACCAAAGAATAAGTTTACAGGTGGTAATTTGAATGTTTATTTAAATATTCAAATTCCAAAATCTTTATCATCACAACAACGTGAATTATTCGAATTATATGCTCAATCAGAAACTGGAAGAGTTGGAAATGTTAATGCTCCAAATACAACATCTTCATCATCGGATGATACATCATCTGAACAACAAGGAGAACATGAAAAGAAGGGTTTCTTTGAAAATTTAAAATCTAAATTAAATAAAAAGGAATAAATTAGTATTCTCTTTCAGCTGGAGTTGATGGACGATAAGCTGTACTACCAGTACGAGAACGTTGTGAACTAGTTGTTGAGGTTGGAGAAGTTGCACCTTGATTTCTTTCCAATACTTCCTTACTCTTTGAAAGAAGAGCTTGAATCATATTGTAGTGAGTTGGATCCACATTATCTTGTTGATGACTATTTGGTGATCGATGATGATTAATTGGATTTGTTGAACCCTTATTAGTTGAGGAAGGACTACTTCTCATTGACAATGAAGATCCTCTCTTATTTCCCTCATTGTTGGTATTAACAACAGGTGGTGCATATGAAGCATCATCTGGCAAGTGTTGGGTAGTTCTGGTGAGTGTATTCAATAACTGTCTATTCTCCTCTTCAAAATGGAACCTCTTTTGTAAATCCTCAACTCTCTTTTCAATAGTATTGTACTTGAGTGAGAGTGTACTCTTTGTATCAGTGACAGATTGCTTTGATTCAGATATCATTTGTTCTAAATCAGTCTTAATTGTCTTGATCATATTTTCAACCTTAGCTTCATGTTGTACTCTTAGCTTAATTCCTTCCTCTTCAATCCAACGTTGTTCTTCAGTCATTCTTCCAATTACTTTTTGTTGTCTCTCCAATTTTTCATCAACACATTTATGAAGTGTTGCAATACTTTGATTAAATCTGTAATCAACATCTGTTATTCTTCCTTGAATTCTTTCCTCAACTTCTCTAACACTTGAAGCAACCTTCATTTCCAATTCTGCCTTTAATTGTTCAAGATAGGCTGATGATTCTCTCAGTGCTCCTAACGAATTATTAATTGATTTGGTTGGTGACATTGATAAACTTCCTTTCAAAGGTGTAGAATTAACATTATATTGTTGCAAAATATGTTCAAAATTACTATGATAATTCTTCAAAGAGGTATCAATCAATCTCGTTGAATAGTTTTTAACACTGTCAACATCCTCTCTCACTTGAACAAACAGATGATTAATACTTTCCTTTGTTTCCTTTTGAATTGTAAACACTAGTTGTTCCAACTTTTCAAATCTATCTTCAATGAGTTTGAATTGCTTATGAGAGATTGTGCAATTCTCATTGGAAGGAGTTGAAGGTTGTTTGTGAAGTTTTGTTTCTTGTACTGGAATATTAACTGATTCAGGTTCACTATCAACATCTGATATTTCATCTTCACCTAAAACATCATCAAATAATCCTTTATAACTAGTATCAATTGGTTTCATACTTGGATGGGAAAGAGCAGAGTGTTGAGAATGATTAACTGGATGACCAAAATGAATTCTTGGAGATTCTTCCAAAGCAAATTGTTTCTTTCCCATATCTTTTGAAAAATGTTGCCTTGGTGTTGATTGAACAGAACTAGGCATCTATTATTGAAATGAGTTTTAAATTATTACTAATAAACTTACACTTGACATGGAATTTCTTGGATTAATAGATTCTTCAAAGTCCATATCTCCACCAATAATTAAATCTTGTAAAGTGTTATTTGATTGAAGTGCTTCTGAAATGGTTTTTGCAACTTGTGGAGCTAACTTGGTAGAATCACTATCAATATCGAGATATAATTTCAAGAGTGAGTGATTTTCTTTCAATGAATCAGAAATAATTTTCATTGACGTTAAATCAAGCATAATTCCTTGAATATCAAACTTTTTGAGTCTATTATTTGTTTTAAGCATATTCGAAAGAGCAACAGCTCCATCAATTGTAAATCCATTGAATCCCAAATATAATTCTTCCAAAAAGTTTGAATTTCTTTTCATATATTAGTTGGTACACAAGAAATTTTCAAACAACTTACTGAGTCAAACATTTTGAGAACATGTATGCTCCTGGATCACCCATTATATTTGATCTCAAATTTAACTTTAAAAGTGATTTGTTACTCTTCAGTCCTGTTACAAGTGAAGAAGCACCTTCAACACTGATTCTATTTGAGCCAAGATCTAACTCTTGTAATGTGATATTTGAGGCAAGCATTTTAGCAATATGTGAAGCACCTTTATCACCAATCTTGTTATGTTGTAAATTCAAAACTTTTAGTGATGTATTATTCATCAATTCAAAGGCTATAACTTTTGCACCTTCTTCATCAATTAAATTGTTTTGTAAATTTAAAATTTGAATTCTATTGGAAGCAAAAACTGAACTCAAATATGCAGCAGCACTACTAATTCTATTACCTCTCAGATCTATATAATTGACTAGCGAGAATGGATTACTTCCAATGCACTGATAGATGTATGAAATGCCTTGATCTCCTAATTTGTTATTTCCACAAGTAAATTTTTGTAAAACAGTGTTCCTTTTAAGCATATCTCCTAAATAAGAGGATATTTCCTCAGTCAAGTTATTATCACTCAAATCCAATTCTAAAATGTGCTTGTTTGTTGTAAGAGCTGTTGCAATACAAATAACATCCTTATCTGTCAACATCTTTTTCCTATTCGATAAAATACATGACTTGATATTCTTGTCGTTCAATGCAAAGATAAATTCAAATGTTGGATCAATTCCAATTTTCGAACAATGATTCATATAAATTTCTCTTGGATCTAATTCGGAATCCTTAGCCCAAGATTCATCAAGATTACTTGGTTCCTTTCCATCAACAGAATCATAGTCCAAAGTAAAATTAGCTGTAACATTCTTTGGATCTTTAATTGTTTAGCCTTCTTTGTCTAATGAATGAATCAATTTCCTCATCTTCTGCCGATATCAAAAGTGGATGACTAAAATTGAGCTTTTGTTGTACGTGACCGAATGGATTGTGTGGTTGTGGGGCCATTTTTTTGAAAATGTTTTATTGAGGCGGGATTTAAAACAAGCCTTTAAAAATGTAATTAGATTTGGCGCCAAATTTTTTTCTCAATTTTTAACCAAATCAAATATCAATAACACCATTAAATAAATGTAAAAATCATAATTCTTCAAAATTTATTATAATTTAAACAAATAAATTTGAAAAAACAAATTCCTTTCCATCAATTAAACATTTTTTACCTTCCAATGAATATTTCTTTCTTGTCATTTTCAAAGCCTTTAATTCTTCAAATTCTCTTCTACTATCTTGTTGTACATTATTTGTATTATTATTTGTATTGTTCGTATTGTTATTATTTGTATTTGTATTTGTATTACTATTATTGGAATTATTTAAATTATTTAAAGTATTATTATTACTTTCATTAACTCTTGATTTTTCATTAAAATGATCATGTATCATTCCTAATTCTTCTAAATATTTTGAACCTAATGAAAATTTATCTAAATATGGAACATTTAATTTTGTATTTGAATTTGAAATTAATTCAATTTTTTTAGGTATAAATTTTCGTTGATCATCTTTTTTATGTAAATAATTTGTAATTTCATCATTTAAATTTAAATTTTTTTTAGGATTTTTAGATTCTTCATATTCTTGTTTTAATTTTGTAATAAAAATTTCACGATCATCAATTTTATGTTCAATTAAATCTCTAAATTTAGATGAATTTTCTTTTAATTCAATTCTTTTAAATTTCATTTCAATTTGATCAGGTGTTAAATCTAATAATTGTTCTTTAAATGGTCTAAAATCTATAATTGATTTACGTTTAGTATTTAAAATGTCATCTGTCACTTTACGATTTTCATAAAATTCATTTTTAATTACATCTGAAAATGTAACATGAACATTTAAATCTTTTAATTTTTGTGTTGTTGAATTATTTACAATATTATTTGAATTATTATTATTAGAATTATTATTAGAATTATTTGAATTTGAATTATTTGTATTATTTGAATTATTTGTATTATTATCAGATGTATTATTAGAATTATTTCCATTATTAGAATTATTATTAGAATTATTTAAATTATTTTTTTTTTGTTCTAAATGTATTTCTTCTTCTTCATCTACAAATTCATCATCTTCTGCAACCCAAGTATGTTTAACAAATTCATCAAAAGTTAAAGATGAAGTATTATTAGCAGTATTATTATTAGAATTATTACTAGAATTAGATTTTTGTTGTAAATATCTTCTTTTTAATAAATCTTTTGTTGCAGATAATGAAAATTTTCTATTTGTAAAATCAACAGTTGAATCAAATTCAATTTTTCTTTTAATTTTTTTAGCATTATCTTTTAAAATTAAAGTTTTTTGATTTTTCTTTTCCAAATCATTTAAATTATTTGATTTTGAACATGTATCATAAATTTCTTCATTTAAGGAAATTAAATATTCTTCAGCTGATATTGGAAATCCATTTAAAACTTGTAAAGATGGAAATGGTGAATCTTCTCCTCTAAATTTTTTAACATCAATAACTTTAGATTTTGAATTATCTTGTAATTGTATTGTTGTTGTAACAGATTGTAATGATTTAATATTAATATGTTGATTCATTGATTGTATAAATGGTGACATGTCTATTGGAATGTGTGAATTTACAGTTTGTTTAATTTTAGATTTAATATTCATTTCTAAATTATTTAAATTATTTAAATTATTTGAATTATTTGATGATGATGAATTTTCTCTTTTTTGATTCCATCTTCTTAAACTAGTAATTAATAATTTAGCTTTTTTTACTTTATTTAATGTTAATTGTGATTCATATATTGGATTACTTTTAAATAAACTTGCATCTTTTTTTATACTACTCTCTGTATGTAACATGAATTTATTTTCATTATTATTTGTATTTGTATTAGAATTATGTTGATTATTACTACTTAAATTATTATTATTAGAATCTAATTGTTGATGATGATCTATATCATTATTTGTAATAGATATATTAGGTGTATTTAAATGATTTTCATTATTATTATTATTATTAGTATTAGTAGTAGATAATGAAGGTGTTTCAATATTTACAATTAATTTATGATTTCCAGTACGTGGTGATCTTGGTGTTTTAGGTGATCTTGGTGATAACATGTTATTATTATTTGTATTTGAATTATTTGAATTATTTGAATTGTTTGAATGATTAATTGTATCATTAAAATGATTTAATTTCATTGATGTTTTTCTTTTATTTCTAATTTTAGATAATTCCAAATCTTTTAATTTTTCCTTATCCATCATTTGAATTGGTTTAAAATGTAATAATTTTTGTAAAATTGCAATTCTATTATCAATAAATCTAATAGGATTATTTGATATATTTAAAGTAATTAATTTTTTTAAATTACATAAATCAATTACCATATTTATATTATTAATTCTATTAAAAGATAAATCTAAATTAATTAAATTTGGACATGATTCTGCTATTAACATTCCATTAAATATTTTTAAATAATTATGTGATAAATTTAATTCAATTAATCCAGAAAATAATGAAATATCATTTGGTATTTCTTTATATTTTAAATATGATAAATTTAATCTATCCATAAATGGTAATATTTCATTTAAATCATTTCTTTTAATTCTATTTTTTAAATAATTTACAATTGATGGTCTTTTTAATTCTTCATCATCTTCTTCATCATCATCAATAAATAATTTAGGTGGTGCTTTTAAATCATTTATATTATTATTATTATTTGATATTTTATTATTATTATTAGTATTATTAGTATTATTAGAATGATGATGAATTGAATGTAAATTATTAAATGAAGGCGATAATAATGTAGGTGGATTATTTATAGGTGATGATGAATGAAAATTATTAGCACGATTTATCATTTGAGAATTAGGTGAATTACTTGAATGTAAATTATGACTAGAAGAAGAATTAGGTGAATGATTTTGATTATGTAATAATATATTATTATTATGTGAATTATTTAAATGATTTGGTGATGAATGATTTTGATGATTAAGTGATAAATAACTATTATGTGGTGATAAATGAGGAGATGATGAATAATTATTATTTAAATTATTATTATTTGTAAATTGATAATATTGTTGTTGAATATTTGGTGATAATAAAGTATTATTAGAACTATTATTAGGTGATGGTATATTAATTAATAAATTATTATTAGATGATGAATTAAATGATGATTGTCTTGATAATTTTCCCATATTTGTATTTGAATTTTTCCTTTTTTGTAATTGTTTCATTCTTTCTTCTTCTTCTTTTAATTGATCTCTAAATATATATTCTAATTGTGCTAATCTTTTCTTTTTCTTTTCTTCTTCAATTATTTGTTTTTGATTTTCTTTATTTGGTATATTAGATTCATCTCTATTTGTAGTAATAGATGATATATGTCTCATAACAGATGATCTTCTACGACGTGGATTATTAGCTTTATTTCCTAAATCATCTTCTAAAAATTTACGTGGTGAATTATTGGTAGTATTTTGATTATTATTATTAGTATTATTATTCTTTCCTAAATAAGAATCTAAACGTGATGATTTTTTAATTGTTTGATTATTTAAATTTGTCATTTCTAATGAAAAATCATGAAAATTAAAAGGAGATGTAGATGTTGTTGATACATTACGTTGTTGTTGATGTAAATTAAATGATGACATTTTCTTTTTATAATTAATAATAATAATAATAATATAGGATGATGTAAATAGACAATTAGTGTGATGAATTGTTGTTTCTTGTATTGTTAATGTTGTTTGATGTAATAAGATAGAGAGAGATAATGATAGTAAATGATGGATGATGTAATATGATGTATTTACAGCCGCGGTATGAGAATAGGAAAGTATTTATATTGAATAATGATAATAATTATGATAATTTCATAACCCTTTCGGAAGTTATCAAGTTATTAAGGATTAAAATCTTAATACTACTAGTTGTAGTTGTGATATTTGAGTAAGTAGAGTGTCTTATTTTTTTAAAAAAGAAAGGTGATGCTAATCATCATCATTTGTAGATTTTAAAAAAAGATAATAACAAGATTCAATATAGGTCTTTCAATAAAATAATTTATTATTTCCAAAAGAATAAACTTCTTCTCTTTTTATCATTTTCTGTTGTTGTTGTTGTATTAGTATTATTATTATTATTATTATTATATGGATTAGATTTATCTGCATTTGAAGATCTAGAAGGTGATGATGATGTGTTAATTTCATTTGGAATTCCAAACTTGTCTGAAAAATTCTTTAAAAAATTTGAATATTCATCATTAACACTTGATTCATTCCAATCTTTAAATTCATCAATATATTGTAATCTATATTTTCTAGTAGTAGGTAAATCTTTTAATCCATATAATGGATTGAATACTAATGTTGTATATTTAGTATTACCTATTTCTTCTATTACATGTTCTTTAACAAGTGGTGTTACCCTATTAGGATTTAATTTTATAAGTTGTTCTGTTATGGTTGAAAATAAATTATTATTATCACTTGTTGAATTATTGGATAATGTTGAATTGGAATGATAAAGTACTGCACTATTATCTGTTGTGTTATTATTATTATTATTATCATTATTATCATCATTAGAATATTCATTAATAATTGTATTATTATTATTATTATTAGAAGAATCTAATAAAGATGTAGTTGTTGGTGAAGAAACTGTAATTTCAGTTGAAGTATTAATTTCATTATCATTCACTGAACAAACACTAAATCTATGATTATCACTCATACCACCACTCATACCACCACTCATATATGAAATGGCATCTTCTTGTTGATTTGAATTATCATAATTAATTTCTGATACTTTCCTCCTCAATAATCTATCAACATTATGTTGTGGTTTTGATCCAAATTGTAATTCCTGAATGAGAGGATCAAATTGTTTAGCATGTTTTTCATGTAATTTAATAAATTCATCAAAGTATTGCATATCAATTCTTCTTCTTGTTATATCTTGCATGTATGATAATAAATTAGTAGAGAATGGTTCATCCACTTCACCTTCTCCATCACTTAAATATAACATTTGATCTGTGTCTTGATCTTTTTCTTTTGACCTGATTTTTTAAATTTTGACATCATTTTAACTGTTAACTTTTTTGTAAATGAATCTTTTATTTGTATTATTACTATTATTAGTATTACTATTATTACTACTAATAGAAGATGTACTTGTTGTCATGTTATTACTTGTTGAATTAGAAGTACTTGTTGATAATTCTTGATCTTGAAAATCAGTATTAAGTTTTTGAAATAATTCTTTTAAAATGGTAGGTGATTGTGAATTACGTTGTTGTGGTATTACAATTCTAGTATTATATAAACTATTAGATCTATCTCTATTTGTTGTTGTTGATGTTGATGATGATGATCTCAATGCTATCGATGCACTCAAATGACCTGTCTGATGATGTGAAGGTGATAGTGCATTATTACTTGGTGATAAATATACAGGTGGACTTGAACCATACGAAGATGAAGGTGAATGAGCACCGTGGTGATCATATAAATTTGAAAGTGAAAGTGAATTACCATGTGATACTGAAACAGGTGATGTTGCAACTGATGATGTTGGTGTTGTTGCATTACTATTAACACTACCACCACTAAATAAACTCTTAATACTTGTACTATTTCTTTTAGATTGTGATATAGATGAACTACTATTACTATTACTACTATTATTGGCAGCAGCAGCAGCAGATGTTGTTATTAAATTTGAAGCAGATGATGAATTTAAATTAGAAAGTAAATTATTACCAGATCCATTTGAATTATTATTAATATCATCAATGGAAGGTGATAACACACAGGTATTATTTAGAGAATTAACAGATAATCTATGTTGTGAATGTGAATTTGATAGTGGATGTGATGGTTGTAATTTTAAATAATTCATTGATTGAACATATTCATGATCATAACATTGTTGATCTATAAAATCAACATCCTTCTGTATTTGTTCAATAATTAAATTTAAATGATCTTGTTGAAGTGAAGTTTCAATTTTTAATCTTTCACTTGAATCTGACATTTGTGAATTTAACATTTCAATTCTCTTATCTTTTTCACTTCCACTTGCATAATAGAAATATCTACTATTGACTAACATTATTTCATTAGCATTTGATTCTTCATTTAAATGTGGTAATTGTTTTTTTAATTTATCCATTTGATCATTAATTAATTGTACCCAATAATCACGTTGAATTTTGTTTTCTGTAAATAGTATAAATGTTTTATCACGTGTTACTAATTTAAATGCATTTTCAATACAATATCCATCTGGTAATGATTCTGCCCATATTAATGGTGTTGATAATAATGAAATGGCACATCTCAAATGAAATTTAACTTTAGGATTATCAAATATTTCAACTTCCTTCTTTTTTTGTTCATTTGAATAAGTTTCATTAATATTTGTTATATTCGTTAAATTATTTGTATTATTATTATTTGTATTACTATTACTTGTATTATTAGAATTATTAGAATTATTAAAGAATTGAGTCATCATTTGATCTGTACTATTACTTGTACTATTAGAATTATTATTTGAATTATTATTACTATTAGAATTACTACTACCAGTATAATTACATAATAAAATTAAATCATTATATAAAATAAAACATCTCATTTGAATACCTGAACGATCTGAAATGTAACCCATAACAGTGTGTGCTATAAATTTTCTACTACTCTTTACCAATTCGAATGGTAATTGATCTGAATTAAATTGTTGTGATAATTGTATTGCTCTCTCTCTACATAATTGTTCTCTAATCTTTTCATTGACTCTCGATGCAACATTATTAATCTTTTGTGCAGCTGAAATGAGACGTGAATAGTCGTGATGATCTTGTGGAGTTGTTTTAATAGATTCTCTCAATAACATTTCATAACGTGGTATACGTTGAACTGGTTTAATCATGAATGATATAATTGAATCATTGAATGCATCAGGTGTAAATTCTGTACGTTCTAAAAACTTTCTAAATTTACTCTTTTTTTGTTTCTTTTCTTCAATCATTTTAAATATTAATTCATACTTGTTACAATAACTACTATAACTTTTTAAATAATCTGACATTAAATGAAATATATCACCTAATGTTGGTGTTATCTTTTTACCTAATATTAATGCATTTCTTTTCTTTTGTTCAATTTCTTTGTTATTATTTGAATTTGTATTTGTTGTATTGGATGTATTTGTTGTATTTGTATTAGTATTGGATGTATTATTTGTGGTTGGAGTAGTTGGTTGACTATTATTAGAGAATGATGATGTAAAATCATTACCACTTGTTGGTGTAGAAGGAGATATTGTATTATTATTATTATTACTATTATTATTAACTTCTAATGTATTACCGCCAACACTAACACTGCTACTACCAACACCACCAACACTATTATTACCATTATTATTACTACTATTTAAAGTATTTAAAGTATTATTTAGATCATCATCATTATAATTATGATCTTCCATATATTTAATAAAAATATCAATAAAAGATAAAACTTCCTTATTAACAGCTAGAATAATTTGTATATCTTTAAATAATTCATTGGTATCTTCTTCTTTTAATAATTGTTGTTGTTTAATTGGTGTTATAAATATATTATCTAATGTTTCAAGTGCATTAACATATTCCTTCTCTGTTTGAAAGATTTCTTGAATTACTAATTTTCTTTTATTTAATAATTTTTGACGTTGTTCTTGTTGTAATTGTTGTTGATTATTAGTAGTAGTTGATGAATGATGTTGTTCTTGTTGTTGATGATGATGATGATTGATGTGTTGTTGTTGTTGAGTGGTAGTATGAACAACCGGTTGTTGTTGTTGAGCAACACTCATTTTTTTACTGTTATTTAATTTGACAGGTACAAATGTCAATGGTAGGAATTTTGGCAGCAATACACTTTTTTATTTTGATAAATGACAATTTGTTATCCTATTTATTATATTGATTCAATGACTTTGACAATTAATTTTTAAATATTATTGTAATTGAAATATTATCAAACAAATCCACCACAACAAACAACAGTTATGAAATAATATTATTAAATAATATTAAATAAATATTAAATAATATAAAATAAATAAATTAATAAATATTAATAATAAATTTATTTAACTGGTACTTTCTTAAAATTAGAAATAGGATGTACGTGTTCCTTTCCTAAAACTTTCCATTGATTTGTACCTTTCCAAGTAACAATACCATTTTCATTTGTCATAATGAAAGGTAAAATCTTTTTAGCCAACTTGTCAGATTTAATTTGTTTATCAACAGGAATGATATCAAAACCATCAATTACAATTCTATCACCTGGTTGTAAATCATTAATATTATCAAATGAAATTAATTCAACTTGGTCTTGCTCATTAGTAGCAGCTAATAACATTCCTTCAGATTCAATACCAACCATTTTAGAAGGTTTTAAATTAGTCATTAATAATACTAATTTATCTCTAATTAATTCCTTTTCAATTTTACCTTTCAATCCACTACAAATTGTCAAGACTTTAGAATTATCACTTGTAATACTAATCTTTTCAACATAGAGTTTAGTTGCTTCTGGATGATCTTCACATGATAATACTTTACCAACTGTTAATTCAATACTATTTGGATTTAATTCATCACTTGTTGTTGTTGTAGCAGTGGTAGCCTTTGTAGTAGCATTAGGCTTGGTAGCAGTAGTAGCAGAAGTGGAAGCAGAACCTTGTTGTTGTTGTTGTTAATTGTTCTTTTTGTTTTAATTCTTGTTGTTCTTGTAATAATAAATTCTTATAATTAAATTTAACAGATTGTAAATTTAATTTAACATCATTAAAATATTTAAATTTGTTTTTTAAATGATTAATATAACGAATTAAATGAACAAGAGATAATTGTTGTTTCTTTGTTAATTGAATAATATTATCATATAAATAAACATATAAAATAATATCAAAAATAGTTAAAGAATCATTAACAAGATATGAACGAAGTGTTAAATGTTCATTCAATTTAGAATAAACTTGTTCATTCTTTTCACCTTGAATTAAAACAAGTAATTCTTTTTGTTCCTTGTTTAATTTAATAGAAAGTTTTAAAAGTAATTCATCAAGTGTCATTTCTTCACTTGCACCTTCATTTTGAATTTCAACACTATTTACATGTTGAGAATACAAGGTAGCAATATGAAAGTTTTTATGTGGTGATGGTGGAACAATAATAGGTGTGGACATTTTTTTTTCAAACCAAAAAAATAATAATTTTATAAAAATATTTTTATTAATAATATGATCAACGTTAAGCCCAGACGGCTGAGCCTTCTTCATCATTGAAATTGCATGAGTGTAATTGAAATGAATACCATTGAATTTCAGCTTTTTATA